GAGGACGACCCTCCCCGGGAGGCCGCGGACGGCCGAGGCCCAGGTACGTTCCCGCCTGTCGGGCGCCTGGCGTCGGCGCCGTGTCCGCCCTCGGCGTGCGCCCGGGACCAGGGCTTCAGTCTGGGGGCGTCCCGCAACTTAAAAACATTTTTTTTTTGCCGGGCTGGGGCTAGAGCTAGGGCCTCACGCCTGGTAGGGGAGCGCTTGGCCCCGGCTGAGCTACACCCCACCCCGACACCCCTCTTCCGTCCGGCGGTCCCCACCCGCGGGGCTCCGCACGCGAGCTGCGAGCTCCTCCTGCTCCCCGCGCGCGGCCTCCGGCGGGCACAGCTCAGCCGGGACTCCGGCCGGGCTCTGCGCTCGTCGGGGTCAGCGCCGTGCGCCCCTGCGGCGACCGCGCAGGGTGGGCGGTTCCCCCAGGAGGCTCCCCGGGGCCCCTGCGCTGAAGTGGTTTCAGCCTGGCCGGGCAGAGAGCGCCCTGGCGCCCATGCGGGCTTCCAGCACCCTCCCTGGCCAGCTGCCCGCGCCTGGACAGCGGCCTTACCGGGCAAGCGACATCTGTGGACTTTATTTTTAGTGGTGTGGTGGACATTTGTAGCCGCACGAAGTCTGCCCTGTGCCTTTCCTGTGAGTGGCGTGGGGTGAATAGGAAGTTTGTAGATCTTTTCTGAAGGCAGCTTCATGTTTTAGGTTCAAGAGTTGGGGACTGGGAGTAATATTTGTTGACGCCTCACTTTCAACCTTACCATTAAAAAGAGGCAAAATGAAGCAAGATTGCCCTCCCCCATAGCTCACCTGAATGACTGAGTGGTTGTAGAGATTTCCATCTTCCAGGGACGTGCTGCGACTGTCAGTCAGGTGGATGAGAGAAAGTCTCTAGACTACTTGGATTTGCACTTTGACAAACTTTTTTTAAAAAAGTGTAGAGTGGGAGGGATGGGAAGTCCTTTTTCTTTCCGGAGGGGATTCTGATGCACGTGGGGCTGGTGGCAAGGAGCAACGATACCTCCTCCCCTCGAGGCACCCCAGCTCTTGCCTGTCACTTCCCTTGCTGTTTCGTAGTGACAGTTCTGTATCTGCACGAATGGGGGACGAGGGTACAGGGCCCTCTTCGGGTGTGTAGGGCGCCTTAGAGTCCCGTGCCCTGCAGCTGCACGTGTTTTGTTTCTGTGCTGAGGACAGCGCCCAGGGCCTCAGGCTGAGTGTGCGCCCTACTGCTGAGCTACAACCCCGGTGCTAGGCCGCGGTGAGAGGACTCAAACGCCTGGACTGCGTTGCCGGGCTGTGCCAGACCCAGGACAGGCTTAGGCTTCTGCCTTACGCACGTCACTGCGTTTATACGCTTACGCTGGTGCCTGATGCTGCAGACGTGTCTTTCGTTGTTGGATACACGGTACATGGTTGTTCTTAGAGCACAGTGCACGGACCACGTGAGGTGATTGAATATGTGCCTATTTCAATGGAGAGGGACTTGGTGGACGCAGACAGAGTCATAAAGGTTAACGGTAACCTTTTGTCAGCCTAACTTTCTTCTTTTGTGAACTGCCTAACACTATTACATTTTCCCTTTCATTTCTAAGACCATCTTCAAGAAAGCAACGCACTTCTGATTTCTGAGACCAAAACGGGAGAAACTTCAGGAAATGAAAGGCTTGAGTCTCATGTGGGAGAACGGAGAGTCCAAAAAGGACAAGAGACCCCTGCTAAAGCGGCCACACAGTTTGCAGAGAAGCTGCCATCTAACAGCCCGCACTCGGACAGAGCTAAGAAGAGGAACCAGGCACAGCTGGACACTCAGGCCCCCGCTGGCCACGAGCACCGGGAAATGGTGTCTAGGCACTCGTCCTGGGGGGATGTGGGTTTGGGTGGAACCCTGGAGGCTTCTGGGGTCAGCCTAAGCCGAGACATGCACGGCAGCAGAGGCAATTTTGTGGATGGGAAAAGAACAGGTACGGCCAACCCGTCCTCGGAGTCCGAGCAAGTCAGCGTCAGATTCCAGGTGCACTACCTCACCAGCTCAGATGCGCAGCTCGTTGCAGTCACTGGAGACCACGAGAGCCTGGGCAAGTGGGACGCTTACGTCCCGCTCCGCCCACACAAGGACGGGCTGTGGGCTCACGCTGTCCTGCTGCCGGCAGATTCGGTGGTGCAGTGGAAGTTTGTGCTGGTGGAGAACGGGGGCGTCGCACGCTGGGAAGAGTGCAGCAACAGACGCCTGGCGACTGGCCACGAGGACAAGGTGGTTCACGGGTGGTGGGGGGTGCACTGACGCCGCCCGCACAGTGTTGAGAGGCCGCAGCAGAAAGTGGAGGAGGGTGAGGTTGTGCAGCACATTGAGTAATTTACAATAAAGGCAGCGCGCCTTTCCCATCAGCTGCTGCAAATTCACTAGTGGCTTCTGTGTGTTGTGTAGAGATGTCTATGTATCGTGCTTCCCACGGGCAAAGACTTCTGCCCCTGCAGCGCTGATTGACTGACTTGTGCTCCTGCACCATTTCGGGGTTTAGGCCTCTTGAGGAACGATTTGGCTGAGCTTCAGGTGTAGACTCTGGCCAAGGAGCACAAAAACCAGCCAGCTGCACAGGTTCAAGCTGGAGCCTGTAGGGGCTCTTAGAGGAAGGAGTAATGCAAGTCTCATTAGAAACAGCTGAGGGCTGTTTTGAAGCTGATGAAATAACTCGGCATGGTGGCGCACACCTGTCATCCCAGCTACTCTGTAGGCTGAGATGGAAGGATCTTGAGCTAGGCCATATCCCACCCCCCACTCCCTTCAGAAAACAAAAACAACTGAAGAAATACTCTTTCCTGCATGCACTTTCATATTTAAAAATATGGACCCCATAAGGAGTTGTACGGATGAGACCATACTGGCTCTCAGGATGTGCTTAGTGAGGACGTGAGCTAAAGCTGTGAGACTCCCCAGTGGCTCTGTCTGGTTTCACCTATCAGGTATGGGTCGAAGGGGAAGGGGTGCGTCCTTAATGACGTAGGGCTGGTGTAGAACCAAGGGGCCTACCCAGTGGTCATCAAGGAGGTCAGTCATGGCAGCAGCCCAGGAAGAACGGGGATGAGTGGGGATAGGGTGTGGGCTGGGCAAGGTGGCCTGAAAGCCACTTCCTGGAGCCCCGCAGGGACAGAGAGATGCCTGGTTCCAGAGGGATGCACCCATCATTACCGTCATTACCGCAGAGCCCCTGGAGGATGTCCCTGCTCACCACTCACCCTCTCCCAGCAGGGCATGCGGGGCAGGACCCAAGTCCTGCAGAAGCTGTTTCCTTCCCTCAGCCTCTTCCCTCTCCTTTCACACCGGTAGCCGTCATGGGTGACAGATTTGTGTAGGACAGTGACATAGAAGTCTATTTGCTCTGAAAAAAACACTTTATATAAACAAACAAACCTGAATTTTAATATCTTTAATTTCTCAATTGTCTAAATCTTTTTTTTTTTTTAAAATGTATGTGGTACTGGGGATTGAACTTAAGACCTTGTGCATGCAAGGCAAGAGCTCTACCACTGAGCCACATTCCCAGGTCCCAGTTGTCTAAATCTTAATACCATAATAGTATAGATCTAAAATAAAATAATGATATTTTTTCCCACTAGTGACAAGCACAAAGAAAAAGCAAACATCAGATTACAGATGAAAACTATGAAGAGTATTTTCCTCCTTCATTTGGAGAAAATGTTTATTTTGTTTGATTTTTTTTTTTTTTTTTTGTCTTTTTGAGACAGGGTCCCACTATGCAGTTCAGGCTGGCCTTGAACTCACTTATGTAGCCCAGGCTGGTCTTGAACTTGCAACATCCCCCTGCCTCAGCCTTCCGAGTGCTGGGATTATAGGCATGTGCCACCATGCCTGAGCTTACTTTGTTTTAAAACTACATATTATCTGTAATCCTAGCACTTTGGAGACTGAGGCAGGAGGCTGGGCTACATGGCAGATTCCAGGCCAGCTTGAACTACATAGTGAGACTCTGTCTCAAAAAATAAAGACCAAACATACCTTTGCTTGGTGGGAAATTCAGTATGCCTCTCCTTGAAAATGAATCTTATCTGTTGAAATAGCCTTTAGTAAGCACAGTCTCTACCACCAGAACAGTGTATAACCTGGGGTAAGATGGCCTTTACTGAAAAGAACAAACCCAGCCACACACACAGCCTCAGAAAGTGCTTCACAGAACTGTGTGACGGTTTTTGCTCAGTGCTCGTCTGTTAAATCAGGGATACTGCGAGGTGCTTCGATGTTGTACAAAGCTCTGTGGATGCATGTACAACTAATGTGCAGAAAGGCCAAGCATACCTATGAGAGAGAGTACAAGGTGAAACAACTGAAGTAAAAATCTCCTGAGAATTCTATCTATAGTCATTTTATTATTACCTGATATAAAAATTAATCCATCACTAAAGGTAACTGACTTAAGAGGTACAGACTATAAAAATTTACACTTTCAAAGGTCGTGGTTTTATAGGGTGTGCTTGAGTGCCTGCGGTCCCGAGTGCAGCGCAGGCTTTCCTGGGGCACACGGCTGTCCCCAGCAGCCTCCCGTCAGACCACATGCTGCTGTCCTGCTCTTCTGCCAGGGAGCATTGAGTCTCCTGGCGCAGGGCTGCGTCCCTCCTCGCAGTCACCCCCAGGCTCTATTCTGCTTGTGCTGCTGTCCTCCCTGCAGACCCCCGCCATCTCCTGCTCGTTCGGTGAAGGGGAAACAGTGTGAGAAAACCCGCAAACGCTGAGCTTATCGGCGCTTTGGACCTGAAAGTGTGGCCCAGCACTCTGTCCCTGCCATTCTGCTAGTGACAGCTTGTTGGGGGCCACAGCGGGACGCGAGGTGGGCCTGGGATGCAGAGCTTCCGGTCAGGCAGCCGCTCCTGCGTTCCTTGGGACAGTCCTGTGCTGGGGGCAGGAGTGTTCTGGACAGCTGGCCCTCTGCATGCTGCCCCTGATGTTCCGGCACAATGGAAACATTTCTCTATCTCACTTTCTTGTCTCATGTATTTGGTTCAGATACAAATCCTCTACTTTATTACAGTCTAAGGCAGGCTGAGTTAATTCAGTTTAGAAGTTACCCATGTGCTTGCTAAAGCAAAACCCTGCCTCGAAAAATACAAAAAAAAAAAAAAATTATTTACCATAGCATTATTTATAAAGAAAAAAAAGAAAAATTTTACTTACCAATATTTTGGTATATCTGTGTAATGAAATATTGCACAGTCAGAACAAAATATAAGAGATGTTGATATTTAGGTAACAAATATTTTCTTCCTTTAGTTATTAATATGCAAAAAAGAGAAACTTCTAAGGGTTTTGACTGGGGCCCCCTAACTATTATCTGATTACCTTCACTGATATTGACAGACTAAACAGTGAGTTCAGGGTCACAGAAGGAAGCCCTGTCTGTAGGCTGGAATTTGTCCTTCTGTTGGGGCATGGTACCATGTCACTTCATGTGAAAGGAGCTTTTACTCTGGGATGTTATTTTTTAAGCTGGGGAAAAATAACTATTGTAGTAGTACCAGCAAAAATAATAAAAACAATTATTTTAATATAGCACCAATTAATACCTTATACTGTATGAATACTTTCAAGTCCTAGAATTGCTCAAGGTTTTAGCAGGAGCCCATTCAAGGATAGTTTATTTCAAAACTCTCAAAACAGAGTTTACAGGACAGGGTATCTTTTATTAAATTTTCACATAAAATGAAAAAAGTACACAGGGCACTAATCATAAGTAACATCACAATGGATGGGGCATCATCCCTCTGTCAAGACAGGCAAATGAGGTATCACTTTAGTAACATTTTTTCCTGGTCCTTCACTTTCTGTATCCTCTTTTCTTGGTTTCTGATCATGGAAGACATTGCTGAAAATGTCAATGAAATAAAGTTAGAATAACAAAATCTACTTAGGTTTTAAATTCTATTATGTGCTTGTTTAGTGATCTGCTTGTTAGAATAGAATAAATGCATTTTAACCTCGAGAAGTTCTTAAACATCTGTCCTATTTTTAGAAAGACTGGTGTTAGAGAACATATATAAGGGTAAACATGTACTTTTTTAGTTGTTTCAAACATGCAGGATAAGATCAGATGAACACAATATAAAAGAATACACAATTCAAACACTTCAGGAGGGTACAAAGAGAGATAAAAGTCTTTGTCACCACTCCCTCATCTACTGGGGTCAGAGGTAATTCTGTACACAGTTTGATCAGTCTCTGCACACACACACACACACACACGAGGAAGTCTTTTACGTCAAAGGAGATACTTAAATCCATTTCATAAATTTATTTTTGTAAAATGTACATGTGCTTGTTTTGTTATTCCTTAGACAAGACACAGGGGCACATGCCAGTCCACCTCCCATAAATTTTTGTGTGTGACAAAGAGATTCCTGAGTCACAGGATCTGTTGTGCCCAGCAACTACGACACATCAAGAGCTAGCCAATCAGGATAAACTGTAAGGCCAGGTTCCCAGTGCGGGATGGGAGAAGTCGGGGGACACGACACTAGTGTTTCGGGGAATAAACTCCAGCGCACTACTTGTGTGCTCTGGCTGCCTTTGTGTACCGTAGCCATGCACCCTTCAGTAGAAGTAAAGCCCTGCCAGAAATCTTTTCAAAAGTCTAGTTTCTTTTGTCTCATTTGTGACATTGGAACATCTATGTCCAACACACACAAATTTTCTTCTTTACACAAATGCAGGTATGTGTAGCTTGCTTTTTTCACTTAACCAGATATCAACATCTCTTGTGTTTTGTCCTGACTCTGCAATATTTCATTACACAGATACACCAAAATATTAGTAAGTAAAATTTTTCTTATTTTTCTTTATAAATAATGCTATGGTAAATAAGTTTTTGTTTTTGTATTGGTTTTTTTGAGGCAGAGTTCTGCTATGCAGTTCAGGCTGGCTTTGAACTCACTTTGTATCCCAGGCAGGCCTCGAATTCGCAGCAATTCTCCTGCCTCAGCCTTCTGAGTGCCAGTATTACAGGCATACACCACCATGGCCAGCCGGTAAATACTTTTTATTTAGACTTATGTCAGTTTATATAAACTTCTGTCTTTATATAAACACACTTCTGTGTGTTTTACTATCATTTCTTGTAAGTTCCTAAGATTGGAATTTCTGACTCAAAAAGTCCATGTGCTTTGGTGCAGAGAGTTTTTGTTTGTTTTGGCACTGGGGATCAAGCCCTCAGGGTTCTGCACATACTGGGTGAATACTTCAACACTGCAATGTACCCCAAGCCCTGTACTTGACATTTTGATAAATGCTTCTGAAATTTTCTCTAAAAATATTTGTTCAGAATTTCCAAGGGGGGCTGGCACATGCAAGGTCATGAGCTTGATCCCTGGTACTGCAAAAAAAAAAAAAAAAAGCAGAATTTCCAAGAAACTTCCCACCCAGGCATTACATCCGATACAAAAGTACTTACACATTTTAAGGAAACATAACATGTCTTATTAGAAGATGGCACAGATCAGATAACCCAGAAATATAAGTCAAAGTGTGAATTAAAAATAGGGCCAATGAAATAATACATCTTCCTTGAGTAAAAACCCCCTCACAGTAAAGATGAGACATTTTTCTGAATGTTTACATGCATAGGGAGCCGGTGGTATCAGAAAGGATTTGGAATTTTCTGAATAAAAACATGACACTGTCTGACCTTGGCTCATTAAGAAAATGTGGGTTTTGGAGTCGGAAAGTACAGGGAGCAGGACCCGGCTCTGTCACTGTGTGATAGAGGACTCTCTGACACCGCTCTTCCCTTCAGTCTCTGTATTTCCCATGACAATAACAGAGCACCCACCTCCCAGGGTCATCGTGAGACGAATGGGGAGAGACCACAGGGCTGGCACACAAAGTGCTCAGTAAATGCTTGCAGCAACTATTATCAGCAACAAGACTAAATTTATTTTATAAATATTTGTTCTTAGAAAAATATTTCTTTTTTTTGTTTTTTTTCCGGTACCAGGAATCAAACTCACAACCTTGCGCTTGCCGGGCAGGCGCTTTTGCCACTGAGCTAAATCCCCAGCCCCTAGAAAAATATTTTGTTTCATTCACCTAGCAGCTCATATTGTTTAGAATAACAGATGTACTCCAAGATCAGTCTCTCTGCCGACTCCCAGATTTAAGGACTTATGTCAGAAGAGGAGGAAATGCACTAGCTTTCCCATATCCACAGCATTAGAACTTAAGCCGAAGGGCCCCCTGTCACTGCAAATCCTAACAGCTTCCATTCAAATGGCTTTAGTACTTTTAGATATGGCCTATCTTTCTGCTTTGTGATTCATGGGGTGGCACAGTCTCCTATGCCTCTATGTTCATTTACATTCCATGTCAGCTAAATAACTTATATTGTTTTTCGACTATGAACTGTAATTCTACCTTGGCAACCATCATACAAATGCTTGTCTATAGAGGTAACAGGCATAAAAAAGTGTGTGTGTGAAAGTTCCATATGAAAAAGCATCCAGCCCTAGTTGACTGCTGGCTGGCAAGATTATCGGGCCAGTTACAGTATAGCAGGGCTAACGGGACCTGCCCAAGGTCTGACAATTAAACCAGGGCCTGGCCAAGCATTAGGGTTTGGACCCTCATGTTTTAAGTAAGGTTTCTAAATTACTAATACCTTTTGAGTGGGACAATAGACAGGAAATTTAACCTGAAGGGAAGATAAGTATTATAAACAGCAAGTCCCTTCCAAAAATGTACATTGTACCTTGGTTTTTCAGCTGCAGATCTTCCACCAGGGTCTGCAAGCTTTCCAGTCTGTTCTGAAGTTTCCTGCATGTTTTCCCTGTTGTTTCCAGTGGTGCAGACTGTGAATCTATTAGAAAATTGCTTAGATGTGATATTAAAAGTTTATTTGATATTTTTTAGAAATATTCTAAATACAGATTAAAGAACTTTAAACTTCTAGCACTTTTAAAATGAAGAAAAAAGCCTCTTGTATAAATATTGTACCATTAGCCTATCTGATTTTGTTTCAAAACAATTTGATTTATTATTTAGCTACAGAGTAATAAATGGACTGGGGAGAAGGACACTTGCAGTGCGACGCCGCTCAGCAGCGGTCTGCCTTCACAGCAACCCCGGGCACTGCTGCAGGCGTGGGGGTGTGGGAGCAGGACCTGCCTCAGACACTGGTGCCACTCTGGAGTGTGTGAGGCCTGTGCCAGGTGCTGTCACCTGAACAAGGAGGGTACTGTGTGACCGGAGAGTGTTGTATGGATGCCTCAGGGAACCTACAACAAGCATGGCAATAGTAACTGAAGAGGGCCTCAGCGTGGAAATATCTGCCAGTGAGTATGACAAGCTTTGTCAGTCTGTAATAGTGCTTAATCTGATGAGCTGGAGATTTCAGTTCTTTTCTTTTCGGATGCTGGAGATTGAACACAGAAGGTCTTGCACATGCTAGGTGATGTACATTCCCAGTACCTGAAGGTTTTAGTTTGATCTGAACCCCTGAATAGCGACATAATCTTGACAAAAACTTTTTGCTGGATCATTTTCCTATCAAATACCACTCTTCATTACAGGTATTAATATTAAAGGCATTTATGTAGGAACTATGTTAATTCAAGAGGAGAAACAATTGCTTAGAGAGATTTTTCACACGAATGGTATAAAATATGTTTGATGAGTATCTGATGCTGGGGAGCAACACGCCCTGTTCTCACCTATCACAAATTTTATTCCAAGTGACCACTGCTGTATGAGGTAGATGACTAGATATGTTAGATTTTTAACTAATACGAAATGAATAGCTTTGAGACTTAGAGAAGGAAAAACAATGCAAAAGTGTTAAAAACCCACTAAAATGTGATTAAGTTCTGATTTTCATTTTTTAGGATCTAGGAGGTGCACAGCATAGCACTCCCAAAGACTAAGAACCAATGTGACAGCAGTGTGACAACCTGTCTGCTCTCCCTTTATCGATGGGGTGAGGCTGCAGAGTGCTGCTGTGACTCGGTCAGGATCGTACATGGGGAGAAACACCTTGAGTTCAACTTGACACACAGTTAACACCATGTACTTATCAGGCATTTCTGGTAAATCAAATAATTTTCCACTTGTCTTACCAAACAACACATGAACTTAAAATTCTAAAAATGAAGTGAGGCACAATAGTTCATGCCTGGGGGCTGGGGATTTAGCTCAGTGGCAAAGCGCCTGCCTGGCAAGCGCAAGGTCGTGAGTTCGGTTCCCGGTACCGGAGAAAAACCAAAACAAAACAAAACAAAAAAAAAATAGTTCATGCCTATAATCCCAGCACTGAAGGAGGCTGAGGTAAGAGGACCCCTAGTTCAAGTCCAACTATGGACAACTTAGTGAGACCCACATCAAAATAAAAATAAGCAGGACCAGGGATGTAGCTCAGTGTTACAGTAGCTCTGGGTTCCACCCCAAGGGAACTCCCCACGAAAATTAAAAATGAGAAATTTGACAAGCTTGATGATAGACATTAGCACTTAGAAATGCAGAGACTGGAAGACAGCACGTTTTAAAGAATATAAATAAGACCGAAAAGTCACGTGGTATGTAAAAGGCGCCCCCCCATCTTATAATAGAGGGAAACAAGTTCTTTATTCATGTCAGAGGAAAATAGAGCCCATACATCTAGTTCCTACATTTTACATGTGTGTACACAGAGCTATTTTATTTAGACAAGACTGTGTGAGTTAGCTAGCAGCGATGAGAGGGTGCACATGAGAATAGCACGCCTAAGCTCAGCAGTTGTGAGTGTGAAAGAATCACAATCAGCAGAGTAAGAAGTCAGTCAGTGCCCTCAGTGGCATCAGGCAGAACCCTACCTTTCACAGAATCGGGTGAGGGAGCAGTCTTGGTGGACCTGTACTGGGCCGTGGAACCCACTGACTCTTCGGCTGAGCTCGTGAGCAGCGAATGCACCGAGGACTTCTTAGGGGAACCGAATGATCGAGATGCTGAATTTTTCACAGATGGGCTTGCTACAATTTTGCAAAAACAAGCGGAAAAGTCAGAATTAATTAAAACTAGTAAACAGCATCTCCGGTCAAATGTTCATGGTAATGTAGTTAATCCCATCAGGAAGTCCTTAATTCTAGAAACTGTGTTTTTCAATGTTAGACCTTTATTTAATTCATCTTTTTTCAGTTCTTTACAGAATTCCAATCTTGTCTTTTTCTTTTCTTTTCTTTTTTTTTTTTTTTCCGGTACTGGGAATTGAACTCACGACCTTGCGCTTGCCAGGCAGGCGCTGTGCCGCTGAGCTAAATCCCCAGCCCCTTGTCTTTTTATTTTCTTG